GGGAGGAACCAGACGAGCCTGTTTTCCCCTCCCGGCCCCCCGACACTCCTCAGGTCAGACCCGCCAGCGGGGAACGCCGAATTTAGACCCTTGCCTGACCCAGCCATTGCTCGGGGCAGTCAGCAACCCATGGAGCGGGGTGCTACAGGTGTGGGGTGCTGCAGGAATGGGGTGCCACCGAAACGGGGTGCCACCTCTGCTCCTACCTCAGCTTCCCGATGAAGTTCTCTCCCCCCCGCGACAGGTCGGTGGGGTCGATGGAGATGAGGTAGTTGGAGGTTTTGCTCTTCTTACGCTTCCTCCCGGCGAGGAGGAATACCTGGGAGGGCGGTGGGACAGCGTGGGGACAGGTCATTGTCATTGCCATCGCCATCCCCGGCTCTCCGCCCCGCCGTGCCTTCTGCCCAAGGCTTGGCCCAACGGGTCACTGCCACGACCTTGCACGAGTCGTGAAGACGACCCCCAAAATCCCGGCTGGGCCAAGGGGCAGGAGGGGCTGAGCCCAGCGCAGCATTAGCGCGGCTCTCCTGCTCATCATCCCGGGTACCACCGACATGGGGCATTTCCCAAGAGGAACTGCAGGGGAGGGGAGCATCCCCACCCAGGAACCGCCACCATGGTGGGATGCAGGCGGGCATTCCCCCAAACCCCTGAGGGTGCTCCCTGGGGTGGGTGCAGAGCCCCAGGGGTCTCCACATCCCCCCCCACCCCCAGCTCACCTTCTTATCGTTGTCCAAGTGGAGGGAATAGGTGGGGTAAAGCCCCCGGTCCATCCCCTTCTTGTCCCGTGTCACCCGGCACTTGATGGTCACTCCCTGCGGTGCCGGCCGCAGCACAAACTCCTCCAGGTTGTCCACCTCGATGACGGGCGACGGGGGCCTCTCCTCCTTCGGCTGCAACGAGAGGGGATGGTGACCCCAAAGCCAAACCTGCCAAAAGTTCCCCTCCTTTCCCAGCTAGTTGCTCCTTGCTCCCGATCTCTCCCCCCCCCCCCCCCCGGCCTGTGGCTCTGCAGCTGGTGGCTTTGGTCTCCCTTTGGTCTCCCTGGGGGATGCTCCAACCCAACCCTCCTGCTGCCCCCACCCTGAGGGGATCCCTATGGCTCTGAGGGGGATTTTTTGTACCTTCTTTGATTTCTTCCCTTTCCCCTTCTTGTTGGAATTTTTCTGTGGGGTCTCCGGACTCTCCTCCTCGCTCTCGGCCACTTTGGGAGGAGCTGCAGGCAGGAACAGGCAGGGGCACAGGGGTGGGGGAAGAGCCTCACTCCACAAAACCCCAAAACTGAGCTCGGCATAGACCCACGTCAACACCATTGATCTTAACTCCACTCTCCATGACCAGGCTCACCCGCACCCCCACAACCCCCTCCAGCACCCACCGCCCTCCATCGCATGACCAGTGCTGGGCTCTCACCTTTCTTTTTGGTCTTCTTCTCCTTGGGGGGGTCCCCACCCGTCTGGAAGAGGGACGCCGGGTTTTTCTTCTTCTCCGACCTGATGGGTTTGGTGCTGGAGTCGGAATCATCCTCCTCATCGCTGCCAGTGGCGGCT